AATGCCTTGGCAAAATCCAAAAGATCACATCCACGGCAACACCCTGATCTATACTTCTACTTACTTCTTCGTAGAACGCAATCAAGTTAGTTTGACATGACCTGTGCTTCATAAAACCATGCTGATTTTTGCTGATAACCATGTTCTTCTCAAGGAATTCTTGAATATTATCCCTTAATAAACTTTCAAATATTTTACCAGCCACAGAAGTTAAGCTCACAGGTCTATAATTTCCAGGCAAGGATTTTGAACCCTTTTTGAATATAGGAACCACATCTGCCTTCCTCCAATCCTCCGGAACACTTCCTGAAAGAAAAGAATCTTGAAAGATTAAAAACAGAGGTTCACTTATTTCTGCACTTAGTTCCTTAAGTACACGTGGATGGATACAATTCTGCAATTAACGTGGCTTTTGTCTTGTTACTTGCCACTACCCCTCGAGCTTCCAGTAAATCCTTTAGCGTGGTTCTCTTAAGTAGCTGATATTGCTGAGCCATTCATTCCCTTGCTTGGTTCAGGGCGTCCATTCGGGATTCAAATCCCTCCGCTTGCCACCAGTTGTAAGGAAACCAAGTGTATTTAAACCTCATTCGGTAGTTTCCTCCCGAACCGCCAGAGCCTTAGTGATTATAGCCCTCTGTTCGGTAGATAAAGTAGATGAACCATATAGTAATCCCAATAGCTTCACAAGATGATTCCCTTAGTGAAACACGAATCCCCAAACATCAGCCGAAGTCAAGAAGAAGGGTACAACTGAACTAACTTTTAATGGGTGCACACAGGCTTTTATGCAAGTCCCCATGCAAGGGGACATCCCTCAGGGAGGGACAAAGATTAACCAATCACGTACTGTAAAAACATAACACACACCCACAGTTCCCTCCCCTAGCTCTGGAGATAATTAAGTCAGATAAAATAATAACTTGATTATCTCCAGGCATAAAAATCACATTTTTCCCCAATAACTGGAACACCCCTTTATACTTGGCGTATCCCCACAAATAACATGTCCCCTGATAGCCCTGATCTGGGTCACCAACATATCCGAATTTCACCCAGATCGGTTCAGGGGTTCTCAAAAACTATGGAGGTCTTCTGTGACCGGCTCACCCTGGGCTGTATGCCCAAAACAGTTCCATGAGTTTGGTGGGTTTTGCCGGTCACTTTAGAAAAAGGAGAAAAGCGAACAAAGTACCGAATGGATCCCCCTGGCTCTTAGCAGCGATCGTTCCCCTCTGTCGAATGCACCAAAGTACCGAATAGCGCTCTTCTAGCTATTCGGTAAGAAGAGTTCCAGCGTTCGTCTGTTTGAGACTGGTGTTCGGGAAGTCGAGTGTCCAATTTCAGTTCCATACACTCGACGACCAAGTCCCGCTGCCTTTGTTCGCATGAACAAAGATGGCCACGGTTTTCTCTGCCAGGGGGGTGGTCTTTGTTCGGTAGTTACATCTACCGAATGCAATAGGCAGAAAATAGTGTAATAAAAGGGGGATTTCTTCACACTACCCATAGGAAAGCATTGCTGCAATGCTTTCCTATGGGGATTTAACTGACGCTGGACATCCTCATGCAGAGCGTGAGGACGTCCAGTGTAAGTTAGGTGACCAAAAGCCGCTTAACCACTAGGAAGTGCCTCTAGTGGCTGATTGACAGCCACTAGAGCCAGTCTTAGCCCTGCAATGTAATCATTGCAGTTTATCTAAAACTGCAATGATTTAAATTGTAGGACTAAGTGGGGCTGAGACACTGCACTCAAACCACTTCAATGAGGGATGAAGGGGTCTGGTGTCTATCGTGTCCCTTTAACACTAAACACTGGAGTAATCTAACTTTGACATTATTACCTCTCTAATATTAAGCCCCCCCTTACCCTAACCACTTCTTACATTATCTTTAACTCTGCATGCATTTACATAGTTGCATATACTCCCTGTATGCTACATGGCTGGCGGCTGCATAGTACACAACATTATTCATCAGCAAATTAGTTCAAGTGTCTCAAAAATAATCTGTGTATTTTTTTGTGAAATTTTCCTGAAGTAAATTACCAGTTCCAACTAGTGGCACAACTACCAGAATTGCAAAGATCACAAGATCAACCGGGCCCTGGAGTTACACCTGTCTGGGGCCTAGATACAAAAGCGTCTCAAATTACCATGCAAGAATCTGGACTCTGTCTCAGGACCAAATCTGTCACTGCTCCTGCCACAGCCATCTCACTTAGTGCTCAGCCCTCTCATCTGCCTGGTTGTGTGAACTGTAATTGCAGAGCAGGCATGGAGAAGACAAGAACAGGCAGAATGAAACAGCAGCCCAACACTCCTCACAATTAGAAGCTGAGATGATGGAATAATTGGTTTTCTCACAAATCAAAAGCCTATCTGGAATTTCTGCCTGTCTGCATGTGCCATGTAAGTGCCCCTGCCTCTCAGTCATTGAATAATATAAGTGTTTACCCTTACCACTGCTATGGAGAATAAAGCAGTTGCCAGTCAGGTACCTTATCTAACAGTGCTGCCCAATTCTTCATATACAAAAATGCTAACTTGAGTCAGATTGCAAACTTTGGGGTAAATCCCTATTTGTACTAGTCTCTATTTCTAAAGGCTGCAGGGAATAGCTTGAAAAGCTTAAAATCTATCTCAAGTTAGCATATATATTTATAATATTTACAAAAAGATAAGTCCTGCGCTCACTTCCATCACTCCTGGGCGGCAGCAACGACCACAGTACACATCAGCCCTGTATCTAGGTCCCACCATGACAGGTGTAACTCCAGGGCACGGTTGATCTTGTGATCTTTGCAATTCTGGTAGTTGTGCCACTAGTTGGAACTGGTAATTTACTTCAGGAAAATTTCACAAAAAGATACACAGATTACTTTTGAGACACTTGAACTAATTTGCTGATGAATAATGTTGTGTACTATGCAGCCGCCAGCCATGTAGCATACAGGGAGTATATGCAACTAGGGGTAGCTGCATGAAAATGTTTTAAACTGTTAACAGCTGCACCTGGCTAATACCTCAAACTAAAGTTTAGAGCAGACAAGAAAGTTGAGTATATAAATAGTATGCTAAGGCCTCCTTAAAGGGATACTAAAAGCATCAAAATAATGAAGCAATTTGGGTCAATAGGTCATGCCATAGCAGCTTCACTGCTCAATTTTCTGCCACTTAGGCATTAAATCACTTTTGTTTCTGTTTATACAGCCCTATCCACACTTAACCTGGCTGTGACTGAGTCTGCATGAATTTTCAATCAGTTGTTAACTTGCATTAGAAGTCATTATAGCTTGGTACTACTTCTAAGTGCTGTTTCTAAGTGTGTAGTTGGAGATATTCTGGAGAGTTTTACAGAAGCTTCAACTGTCTAAGAGTTGTGCTAAGAGCTTTCTTTTCTACTGTTACAGGTAAGATTCATCTGTAGGAAAAGGTTACTGATTGCCCAAGGTTTGAATTCCTGTTGTGGAGAGAGGCACTGAGACTAGTGGTGTTGTGGAGACCGGCTTGGAGACTATGGTGAGGCCTAATAGAAAGCAGTTGTTGTTGGGGATTCCATTATAAGAGGTGTGGAGATGGACAATGGTGGTCTTGTGAGGTGTCTTCCCGGAGCTACTGCTCACAGAGACAGGAGACGTATCTGTAATATTGTTAAGCAAGCAAAGCAGGAAGGGGAATTGGATATACTTGTCCATCTAGGGACAAATGACTTGGCTTGCAATGAGGTTTCAGAGGTTAAGGAAGTTTTTAGTGTTTTTGCCAATGATATACGGCAGGTTGCTTCCACACTGTCATTCTCTGAAGTTCTGCCTGTGCATAACACTCAGAACGACAGGCGGATGCGTATTAGGGACTTTAATTTGTGGCTTGGTGAATGGTGTCGGGAGCAAGGATTTGGCTTTATTTCTCATGGTAGCTCTGTTTGGAATGGAGATAAGCTGTACAAAAAAGATGGTTTGCATCTTTCTCAAAAGGGAACAAATGTTCTCAGTGAGCAGTTCAGAGGTTTTGCTAGGATGTATTTAAACTAGGAGGGGGGGCAAAAGGGTGATAAAACATCAATCCAATTGTCCCCCAAAACAAGGACAGAAGGTGCCTGTAGCAAGTGTGTTAAAAAATGATAAGCTTAGAGTCATGTCTACAAATGCTCGCAGTTTAGGGAATAAGATCCATGAACTTGTGGCAATAATGGCAACTGATAGTGTAGATTTAGTCGCTGTTACTGAGACATGGTACAATGAGAAAAATGACTGGGACATAGCAATACCAGGGTACTCTTTATATAGGAAAGATAGGGAAGGCAAGAAAGGGGGAGGGGTGGCCTTGTATGTGAAGGATAGCATAAAATCTAGCCTAATAAAAGTTAGTGAGGCAAACATAGAGTCCGTTTGGGCTACGTTAGAATTTGGTAATCACACAGTAACTCGTGTAGGTGTGATTTATAGGCCCCCAGGACAAATTGAAGAGTTAGATAATCTACTAGTTGAGGAAATAGCTAAAATGACAATGAAGGGGAAGTTATCATCATGGGTGACTTTAATCTTCCTGATGTAAATTGGAAAACAAAATTAGCTACTTGTGCCAGGAGCACACATATTCTAAACTCCCTACTGGGATTGTCTCTAAAACAAGTTGTTGAGGAGCCAACTCGTAAAGAGGCCATACTAGATTTAGTGTTAACAAATGGAGATTTGGTATCAGATATTACTGTAGGTGAAAGTTTAGGATCCAGTGATCATCAGTCAGTGTGGTTTAATATAAGAACAGTGACTGAGTCACACCACACAAAAACAAAAGTTTTAGACTTTAGAAAAACAGACTTTTCTAAAATTAGAATATGTGTAGAGGAGTCATTATCAGACTGGAGCAATTTAAATGGAGTCCAAGAGAAATGGGATTATTTAAAAGTTGCACTATTGAAGGCAACAGAAAATTGCATTAGGCTTGTCAGTAAAAGCAAAAAATTCAAGAAACCACTGTGGTACTCCGCAGATGTGGCCAAAATAGTTAAAAACAAAAAGTTAGCATTTAGGAATTATAAAAAAACCCAGAGTGAGGAAGACAAAATGATCTATAAGATTAGGCAGAAAGAGGCTAAGCAAGTTATAAGAGCTTCCAAATCACACACAGAAGAGAAAATAGCACAGTCAGTAAAAAAGGTGGATAAAACATTTTTTAGATACATAAATGAGAAAAGAAAAGTAAAACCAGGATTAGTTAGATTAAAAACAAAAGAAGGAAGGTATGTAGAAGAGGATAAAGGACTAGCTGACTGCCTCAATTAATATTTTTGTTCTGTATTTATAGATGGAAATGAAGGAAAGGGACCTCAGTTGAGAAAAAGGATAAATGAGTCATTTATTACACATGAGTTTACAGAGGAAGAGGTTCTATTTCAACTGTCCAAAGTAAAGACATAAGTTATTAAAGCTATTAAAAGAGCTTAGTGGTGTACTAGCAAAACCATTAACAGATTTATTTAACCAATCATTGTTAACAGGAGTAGTCCCAGAAGATTGGAAGTTAGCGAATGTTGTGCCCATTTACAAGAAAGGTAATAGGGAGGAGTCGGGCAACTATAGGCCAGTAAGCCTTACTTCAGTAGTGGGGAAAGTGATGGAAACCATGTTAAAGGATAGGATTGTTGAACATCTAAAAACACATGGATTTCAAGATCAGAGACAACATGGGTTTACTTCAGGGAGATCATGCCAAACTAATCTTATTGATTTTTTTGATTGGGTAACTAAAATTATAGATCAGGGTGGTGCAGTAGACATTGCTTACCTAGATTTCAGTAAGGCTTTTGACACTGTTGCACATAGAAGGCTTATCAATAAACTGCAATCTTTAAGTTTGTATTCCAATATTGTTGAATGGGTAAGGCAGTGGCTGAGTGACAGGCAACAGAGGGTTGTAGTTAATGGAATATATTCGAAGCTTGGACTTGTCACCAGTGGGGTACCTCAGGGATCTGTACTTGGACCCATTCTCTTTAATATTTTTATTAGTGATATTGCAGAAGGTCTTGATGGTAAGGTATGTCTTTTTGCTGATGATACTAAGATATGTAACAGGGTTGATGTTCCAGGAGGGATAAGCCAAATGGCAAATGATTTAGGTAAACTAGAAAAATGGTCAGAATTGTGGCAACTGACATTTAATGTGGATAAGTGCAAGATAATGCATCTTGGACGTAAAAACCCAAGGGCAGAGTACAGAATATTTGATAGAGTCCTAACCTCAACATATGAGGAAAGGGATTTAGGGATGATTATTTCTGATGACTTAAAGGTAGGCAGACAATGTAATAGAGCAGCAGGAAATGCTAGCAGAATGCTTGGTTGTATAGGGAGAGGTATTAGCAGTAGAAAGAGGGAAGTGCTCATGCCATTGTACAGAACACTGGTGAGACCTCACTTGGAGTATTGTACACAGTACTGGAGACCGTATCCTCAGAAGGATATTGATACCGTAGAGAGGGTTGTCAGGGTATTTATATCGGCAGACATCTTGTGCTATGATAGAAACTAAAAGTGTATATTCTGAGTCGCTCTGAACAGACCAGACTCCATTTTGTTATTTTCAAGTTAACAAAAAAGACACAAGATTTCTTTCTGTAAGACTAGCCACTTTGTCAGAGCTAAAAGGAATGCATAGTATAAACAAGTGATAAGAAGAATATAATCAATTCTAAACCCAGACAATTGTGACAGAGAAGATTAAATAATAAAATTTAACTGTCTATACATATAAGGTCCCATTGTAAGTTACGGGTCAAAACTCAGATTGCTAGACACATAGTCTGGACAAAACTTAAAGAACCCTTTGAAATTTTAAGTTATGGCACTATAAAGATAACGCAAAATGACGTCAAAATAGCCACCAGGAAAAGTTAACTCTTTCCTGGATAGGTATGTTTTTTTTTTTTTTTTAATTCTTTCTTTTATTGAGGTATAGACTTTACGGGTACAGAATAAAGAAAGGGAGACAATAAAAGTCATACAGGATGGGGTATCACAGTTTACCATACAACATCTCCGAAACTTGTCAGCCTCTTTTTTATTTTTAAGTAATGTGTAGTAAAGGCATTATGTAGCGTTAGGTGCCTGCCTGCTTGTGTCAAGGTATAGCTTGTAGTTGGTATCAAGGCACCTTTGAATGTGCTAGTGTTGAGCGTGGGGCCTTAGTTAGGTGAGCTAGGGAAGGTATGTGTGTCTCAGCTGGGTGTGGTCATCTAAGTCGCTAGCTGAGAGTGCAGCATGTAGTGTGCTGTATATTTCAAGCTGTGTAACGCACTCTGGTTGTTAGGAGGGGGGGGTAAAAATGGCTCAATACGTATGATTATTATGAAGGCTTACGGAGCCAGTATTGTGCGGGTTTGGGAAGAGCATGATATTAAGTAGCAGCATTGTTGGAAGGAAAAGGGAGAATAAAAACAGAAATAAAAAACAATAACCAACAGCATCAGTATTGGGTATAACCAAGAACAAACGTGGAACGAATCAGGTATGTCCCTTGTCAGGCGCAACAGGTTAAGGGCGTGTGGGCCCTGCTCTGCTGCTGCTTCAGGTTGGTAGGGCAGAGGTTTTCTGAGCCTCTCTTCTAGGCACGAAGGGGGTAATCTCCGCTACAGACCACGTTGGATGGGTCAACTGCTGTGTCGTTAGCGCTGGAAGGCCGAGTGCCTGCAGGAAGGCTGGTATATCAGATGCGTGAGACAGCTTATGTGTTTCGCCCGCCTTTTCTGCCTGTAGTCGGCGTGGGCCCCATTTGTAGGGGATGGCTTGTTCCCGGAGTAGCTGGGTGACTGGGCGAAAGGACTTCCTCCACATCATGGTGTGTCTGGAGAAGTCTTTGTAGAACGTTAGTTGTGCCCCTTCAAACGCCACCGTGGGGGAGCCTCTTGAAGCCCCCATAATCATGCCCCTGTCAGAGTCCCGCATAAATTTAATCAGTACGTCACCAGCTCCTTCGCGTGGTGTGGCGGCCGCCCTGGTGAGTCTGAAACAAGAGTCTATCGTGATCAACTTAGCTTGTCTTGGCGTAAGTAAAGTAGCTATCAGCCGTCGGCAATAGTGCGGCAATTCCGAGCCGGTGAGTGTCTCCGGCACTCCACGAACCCGCAGGTTTCTTGCCTTGTACCGGTCTTCCATGCCAGCCAGTTGGGTTTGTTGGTCTGCGTATTGCTTGCGGAGTAAGTTCAGCGCTGCGTCCGTGGCACTTTGCGCCAGTTTAGTGTCCCTCAGGCCCTCTTCCACATTTGCCACTTTATTGGTGAGTGTAGCTACGTCTGCCCTTACTAGCGCCATGTCTGCTTGGAACATAGCCTGAATGTCCTTCACCAAAGCTTTGATATCCGCCTTGGTGGCTGGAGCAGCGTCCCCCATGTCTACGGGTCTCAGTGGCAGTTGTTGCGTGCGGGTCGGCAGTGCAGTCTCTGCATAGTAGCTATCCTCGTCCGAGGATTGTGAGGCATAGATCTCGGGCGCCATCTTGGCTTCAGCAGGCCTCGATGCGGCTCGGAGAAGAGCCCCTATATCTCCGGATCCCATGCCCGGATCCGCCCTCTGCTTCTTGTTCTTCTTCCCCATATTGTCGGTAAGCTGTGAACCGGTTTAGGTGCCCGGTGTGTGCGGGGATTATGGCTCCGAGCGAGTTAATTGAGCGTGTCGCACGGAGCTGTCTGAGGATGCGGCCGGTTAGCTCGGGTGCTGGCTCCGCCCCCCCCTGGATAGGTATGTTTAGTGGGACAAGACTGCCCTCTATAGACCAAATAACTAAATTGCGATCTGGAAGATAACCACACTGTTACGGTACCTCCAGTAATGAAATGTACAAACCGCCGTTTAGCGAGTATTCCCCGTTCGCAATAATGTGGTCGGGTAGCGGGTATAATAAAACCATGCGAACCGCCAGCCAGGGAACACTCCAAACTCCCGAACGGTACCTGTACGGCTAATTCCCTTCACGAGCTGCAAATCCACGAACGGCAATTAGTAACCGAACGACAATATCTCCCAAGCGGCAAATAATCCAAATAAGCAGTCTCTAGTCGCTGGTAACCAAATCCCCCCAATAACGAGACCAAGCTCCGCTTTGAGGGTAAAACACGAACTGATTTACTGTGGGCTACCTGCCCGGTATTTATGCAGGTCTCCCACTTGGTGGACACTCCCCTAGGGGACCAAATGGGAGACTGAAATCACAGAAGGACATGGGGACATTTTGGACATACATCCCCACAATAATCCCAGCATGTATCACAGTTCCCTCCCCTCTGCTCGGGGGATAATTGGGAAGTAACTCAATTATCTCCCCGAGCAGAGGCAATCGCCATTTTAAACACAAGTCACAAAAACACACAAAAATCCATAACTACATAACTGCCGAACATATTACATTCGTATTGCATATCCCCAGATAGCCTGGATCTGAGTGCACATTATTGGAGAATAGCGCTCAGATCCCATTCGCACAGTTCAATCGCCATGGAGTCAAAGTCTCTTTTCAGTTCGTCGGTATGCGATTGACTCCATGGGACGGCTATCTGGGTTAAGTCCATTCGTGTGGTTGAATCTCCTGAACGGCTGGCATTCGTATACTTTTGTCGATTGAGAAGGGGAGGTCGACGGCTTCAGCGGTGTTCGGCTGAAAAAGTGTCCGTTTTCAGATCCATGAAATAATCGAACACCGCTGGTCTTTCGCATGGACAAAATGGCCGCCGCCTCGTGGTCGACATACGAACGACGACCACCCGGCATTCGGTTTTAATTGAGAAGTGTCTGTGGTTAACCGCAACGTTCTAATTGGGATCAATAGGTTAACCAGCAGCACACTTCTCTTCTGGGTGGCCGTCCGTTCGGTAGTTCCGTTCGACAAAAAACGACATTCCCTTGAATAAAGCATACGAATGGGGAAATTCATGTAACCGGCAAAACAGGCGAACAAAGTATTTGTAATCCAGACAGATGGGTCTGTCACACACACCTCTAGTGCTTCTATTGGGTTATCAACTGATGACGTACAGAGAGTCTGTCCCTTTAAAAGTTAAGACAAAGGGAAGATGCAAGGTATGCAAGAGATGCAAAGGAGAAAGGAAAAGAGGAGAGAGGAATTGGAAGTTTGGGGACTCCAACCTCCATGCAGAGAGACATCCAAATAAGTTCCTGAGACTACCAATCGGATGAAATATATACTCAACTGGT